TCACCACCACCCAGGCAATAATGAACAGATCCTATGAGCCTCCATCGAACAACATTGCTTGAGTGGTGAAGAGTAAATCCTTTGAGCCAAGATCAACAAATCTCTACCCTGGTTAGATCTTCATTTGCTGCATAAGAAATCAAATTGCAAAATCGAGACAAACAAAATTGAACAAAACTCTACCTATGCGAGATACTTAACTAACCAAGCAAATAATTAGCAGGCCAAACAGGTGCTTCGAAGCAAATATGAACGAAGGAAATATCTGAGACACATCCAACCAATCCAAGCGTATTGCAAGACAGAAGAGCTTTACCAAATTGATAATGTGTTACAACCTTATGCATTAAAATTGAAAGCATTCAAATCTCAGCAATATTGTCTAGCATTTCCATAACTAGATAAGCAAAGTACCAGACTAAAGATAACCATCATATTAGTTAGAATTAAATTCTCGGCATATTTGCAAGATTAATATGCACAACTCGTTTTATGTTCATTGATTAATTCAAAACTAGGAGACAGTTCGTTGATGTAGAAAGCTTGTGTTATTGAAATCTCAAGCAGTTTGTCACAATCCAATCCAACATGTTAAGGTCTTGTTTGATACAACTATGGGTCTGTTTATATATATTTTTTCAATTTTAAAAATTTGTTTCAAAGTATTTAGTGCAACTTCTGTTTATTGCTTGTAAGATACAAATAGCTTACATAAGTTTTTTAAAAAAAAATGATTATTAAAAAGTTGGTGATGCAGTGCTTTTACCTTATGTTTTTTATTATTCATTTTCTGCTTGCAAGAAACTACTACCCCAAACAATCCCTAAGAAAGGAAGAGTGCCAAATCTAGATTTGATGGCAATCTAGCTTCCAAAAAATCCTCCAACTATGCCAAACTGAATTTTGAATTTCAATATTGTATCATGAAAAAAAAAAGAAAAAATGAATGATTTTCATTTCTTAAATAAAAAGAGATAGGTAGGTAATAATTTGACTATAAGTATAGAATATATATGAATATAAAGATCATTCATATGTATCCTATGGTTATTCTCTCTCTCTCTCTCTCTCTCTCTCACACACACACACACACACACACACACACACACACGCACGCACTAATTTGACTATAAGCAACTTCTTGGCAAGAGCTAAAATGTCAACCATTTAACTATAAGCAGCTTGTTGGCTAGAGCAAATTCCTAGAGCCAAATGAAAGTGAAAGCATACAAGATGGCCAACTTGTTGCCATCGACTGTGAAATTTCAAAAATCATTAGCAATCCCTCTAAAACTCAATTTTATGCATTTTTTGACTCTTTTAGCCTTAATTTATCACATTTTAATCAAAATTTTGATATGTAAAGGCACTTTTAACTCATTTTTAACTAAATGATATGTATTTATTTTAGTCTTAAGCTTTTATTTGGTACTAATATAATACTAACCTCCACCTCTCATCATAATGTTAGATAATTTTTCAAACAAAATGATTAAATGGGAAAAATATGATTCAGAATTTGGTGCACATAATGTTGGACTCTGCAAAGAAACTAATCAACACATGGGAGACTGAAATAGAAAAACAAAGTGGGACAGCAAATGTAAAGGTTGATGGGGATCTGCAGAGCTTTGCTTCAATATATATAAATGCTCCTAATATATATAAATATTTGAAGAATCATAAACATATATTAAAATATATCTTATTCCCATCCCATACCATAATATAAATAAAAAATAACCACAGAATAAACAGGAAAAAAAAAATTATAAACCGAACACAACAACTTAACAAGCAAAAGCATCACTTATTCAGCCAAAAGAAAAAACAGAGCATGACAAATACAAACAGAGTGTGAGAGAAGTTCTCAGAGAACAAACCTTTGCTCAATTACAAACAGACTTAATCAACGTAAATTCACCCTATAGAGTCTTGTAGTTACAAATAGAACTTCTCTGACAAACCTTTGCTCAATAGGTGATCATATAAATTCACCTTTGATCATACAAACCTTTGTAATTGAGTCTATAGGTGATCATATAAATTCACCCACAGAACAAACCTTTTCTCAGAGAAGTTCTCCAAAGTCCATACAAACAGTCTCCAAACAGAGCAGTGTAGCTCTCAGAGAACAAACCTTCAACGAAGAAGTTTGAAATCGGTGAGAAAACAAACCTTTGCTCAATTATTTCTGCAGGTGCTTCGCTCCATTTTCAGCCATACCGGACTGTATCGGAACTGTATCGCTCACGTATCGGATTCAGGCCGATACGTAACGAGAATCGGCCGCTACGGACGCGAAATTCATTCTCACTGGTGTACCAGTGAGTATTTGACTCGGGACTCCAATTTTCCGGTACGAACCGGTCGGTACGGCATGTACCGGCCGATATTTAGAACCTCGGTGGTTTCTTATTAAATATGAATGTATGATAGATAAATAGAGAATAAAAGATACAAGTCAAGTTTAGATATATTTTATTATGTAGTCAGAACAGTTAAACATCGATAAGTACGGTCATCCACAGAGTTGTGCAAGCTACAATGAGATAAGCAATTAAGTGTGACATGGAATGTGTTTGGAATGTGTCCTGCATTGTCTAGGGTTGCTTCATCTGTGCTAATTATAAGGCTTTAATTTTTCTCTCCTTAATATTTGGATTTTAAGAAAAATGATGGACTGGGCTTTTCAATTTGGTATCAGAGCTTGGTTGTTGGTGTGCCATTTGTTCGACTATTGTATGTTGTGGTCTAGGAGGGTGTGTTGGAATATGTGTCTGGAGTAGCCTTATCTGTGCTGATTATAAGGCTCCAGTAATGTGTCCCGCATTGTCTGGAATTCAGGAGGGTGTGTTGGAGTATGTGTCTGGAGTTGGCCCATCTATGCTGATTATAAAACTCCAGTAATGTGTCTCACATCGTCTAGAATTGCTCTATCTATGCTGATTATGACGCTCCAATTTCCCAATAATGTGTCCCGTATCGTCTGGAGTTACTCTATCTGTGCTAATTATAAGACTCCAGTTTCCCTCTTCTTAATACTTGGGTTTTAAGGAGAAGTGTGGGCTGAGCTTGGCTTTTCAATTTGGTATGTTTATAAAGCTCCAGTAATGTGTCCCACATCGTCTGGAATCCAAGAGGGTGTGTTGGAATGTGTGCTTGGAGTTGCTCCATCTATGCTGATTATAAGGCTCCAGTAATGTGTCCCGCATCGTCTAGAATTGCCCTATTTATGCTGATTATAAGGCTCCAGTTTCCCAATAATGTGTCCCGCATCGTCTGGAGTTGCTCTATCTATGCTAATTATAAGATTTCCGTTTCCCTTTCCTTAATACTTGGGTTTTAAGGAGAATTGTGGGCTTGACTTTTCAATTTGGTATGTTGGAATGTGTCCTACATCGCTTATTGTCCTATCTATGCTAGTTATAACGCTCTAATTTCCCTCTCCTTAATACTTGGGTTTTAAGAAGAAATATGAGTTGAACTTTTCAATTTGGTATCAAAGCTTGGTTGAAGCTATAATTGGTGTGCCGTTTGTACGTTTACTTTATGTTGTAGTCCAGTTGGTGTGTTGGAATGTGTCCTACATCGCTTAAAGTTACCCCATCTTTACTAGTTATAATGTTCCAGTTTTTCTCAATATCTTAGTTTTAAGGAGAAATGTAAGCTAGGCCTTTCAATTTAGTGTATAACCCCCCGCCCAACACAATATATATATATATATATATGCATGATCTTTGCACTACCTATAGATCTTTGCAAAGAATCTCTCTCTCTCTCTCTCATTTTTTTTCCTAACTTTTTTTGCCTTTAGTAAAAAATTGTGTCAAAAGTCTTACTTTTCAGATCGGTCTAGCTTAGAAGGATGTAAAAGGTAAAATAAAATTTTAAAATCCAAAAAATGTCACTTAAAAAAAAGACAAAAAAAAGTGAACTTTTAATTTTTTCTGGACTTTTTTCAAAATATTTAATTTTTTCAACTATTAAGTCTGTCTAGTCTGAGTGAACAATTTTTTGATTTTTTTTTTAAATCACTAAAAACGAAGAAAATGCTACAAAAAAAATTGCTAAAAAAGCAACTGCAAAACTCAAGACTATAAGCAACTTCTTGGCAAGAGCCAAAAAAGTCGATCATTTGACCATAAGCAACTTGTTGGCTGCAGCAAATTCCTAGACAAATCAAAGTGAACGCATAGAATTGCTGCTAACTTGTTGCTATCACAAAGATCGACTTCATGAAAGAGATGATTAATAACAACAATAAGACAACACATGTTATAAATGCCACACACTTTAACACCTTTATGATTATGATAATAATTTTTATACATCCAACTAGCAAATTTATCTATAAACAACTCCGTCTGTAATGTTTGTGTTTACCAGACCGCCAATGTCGATATGAGCGGGGGGGAATCATCTAAGGTATGTTTGATTGACAAGATTAGAGTATGTGATTGAAATTGTTTTGAAAATTTGTTTCAGGATTATTAATTCAATAGATAATTAATTCAACAAATTTGTAGGATTATTAGTAATGGTAGTAGGGGTGGAGTTATATATCCTAAGTCGAAAAATAAAATAAAAAGACTCTTTTACCTACTAATCCAATGCATATCAAACAATGGATAAGGGAATAATTTATCTTACTAATCTAATTGGATAGTGAATACCACATTAATTTGATGGGATTATTAATTCTTTCACTATTAGTCTTGTGAATCAAACATGGTCTAAATGTACTATGACAAAATTGTTTCTGAATTAAATCAAGGGGGTTGTTGAACGAAAACAACTGGTTTCTTGTTAAATATGAATATATGATCCATAAATAGAGAAGAAAATATACAAGTTGTAAGGCAAGTAGGTATTGTTGTCAATTTTTTAATAATACAAATAAACTGTTGAATTATAAGCTTCCATCTATTTAAGTCTTCTCCTAGCAAACAACCAATCAACCTCTCTTTCTATCTCTCTCTCTTGCCTTAAAATAGAACATGAAGCCACACTTAGCAGCATCTAAACTGGCTGTGAACACGGATTCACATGTGATATCGAAATTCAAGCCAAAGATACGGATAATCCATGTATTTGCACCAGAAATCATCAAGACAGATGTGGCAAATTTCAGAGAGCTAGTTCAGAGACTCACCGGAAAACATGTTGACACCAAGAGCCACAAAAAGAAAACAAGCAGTGCTTCGACTATAGGACCGAGGACTTTCTGCGCTGAACCTGCAACCAAGAACACTGAATCAGAAATTGGTGTGCACATTTTGCAGAATGAAGAGAGAATGAAGAAGGAAAGAGAAGAAATATGGGGAGATGAGAATTCAAATCATTTCATAGGTGGGTTTGGAGAAATGGATGGTTTAATTCAAGACCTGATTGAATTTCCTTTTCTTCCTCTAAAGTCTTCTCACTTGAACATATATGGAGGGATGCCACTTTGCCAGTGAAGACCTTCTTTTTACTTTTTCTTTCTCCTTTTCGTCAGACAGATACAAGATTTTCTCTCTTGACTATTGTATTGATTTCTTCCACCTCTGAAAAACATTGGAGAAATATATACTGCTGCTTGTATATCTTTCCTTTTGGATTTCTATTATAAAGCTCCTTGTTTTTCTGTTTAGTTCCAAGTTTTTTTTTTTTTTTTTTTTTTTTTTTTTTTTTTTTTTTTTTTCCAGCCATTTGATCAACTCTACGAGTAGGAAATTGTTTTTCGTAAATTGTCAGAAACTGCACAAATCTAAGGCATTGATTGTTGGAACAAAATTTGAGACCTTCTATTATTTTAATTGGCACAAATGTGATGCAATTTAGAATTGTACAAATTAATCTAGAGGTTATTAAGTGAAAGAATTTTCATACTCCATTAGATTTTTCATTCAAAATTACTCTTCAACATATAAAATGCGCATAAGAATCATCTGTCGCCAAATCCGCTTGTCCCTCTGTCCCAAAATAATCACTGGATCATGTAAGAATCTTGAGCTGTGGAAATCTCAAGACATGATTCAACAGCTGTAAATGTTTTGGGATAGGAGACAAAGATTTGGGGTAGAGGATCCCATGCCTATAAATGAGCCAAATACCCATAAATCACAGTATCATACAGATGAAAGATATATAAGAAAATTAAGGTAAACTCCGTTTAATTACCATAGAGCACATGGATTTAAAGTTTATAAAAGATCAGATCTTTAAACATAGTTTTTTAATCAGATCAGATTTGGGAGCATAAATTAACATTGACTTCTATACGCCTTAAAGTCATTTCCTACTTGACTTTTTTATTCACAAAATGCAAGATGTGAAATTTAGAAGCCTAAGAATTAGTAGCTATTGTCACAGCAGTAAATTCCTATGACAATTTATATACATGATTTGTGAATTTAAATAATTGTAAGAAGCGATAAGATACAACTGACATACTCATTGCAAATAGCAAAGTATAATAGGGGAACTACAGTCCAGAATACTCATTTGGGAGCATTATATCAGGGACAGCAGTAACTGATATATCAATGATATGCTCTGTTGGGATCTGGGATCCCGCCCAAGACCTTATAGAAATCAAAACAAGCAGAAAAACACACCCACACTCAAGGAGACACAATATTTTACGTGGTTCGGCCCAATGCCTACGTCCACGGGAGAGTAACCGGTTATCACTATACCAATGAGGAGATTACAGAAAGATTACAATAGAGGAGGAGCTCACACTCTCCTCACTCAGCCACTCACCCGTCTCCCTCGCTCAAATAATTGTAAGAAGCGATAAGATCTAACTGACATACTCATTGCAAATAGCAAAGTATAATAGGGGAACTACAGTCCAGAATACTCATTTGGGAGCATTATATCAGGGGTAACTGATATATCAATGATATGCTCATGGTCATATTTAAGTGGAAGCGAGATGCACCAAATTTTTGTTTATAGCCCAAATGCATACTTTAACGAGTTGTGATTTTCAAGTTGAAATCCAAGCCAAAGACAACTGACATAATCAATTTGAATTAGGCAGTGTGGTGGACCTACAATAGCACTGTCCAATCCAAGCCAAACACGTCGGTTGATTTTAGCTTGGATTTCAACTTACCTAACATTTTTATAGGCTATAATGCTCAACAAAATATGATGTTTGGATCATCATAAAGGTTGACTTTATAATGTTGCAGTCAATCGTATAAGGAAAAGAATATCCTTTGGAAATATCTCCAAAATCGTAAGGCTGTCTAAACACAGATGAATACTAAATCTTACTGAGTTCCAGTCATGGCTGTTAGAAATTCACGATTTGATACGAGTTTCAACCAAAACGATTCGATTCATGCTGCTATTGAATCCTAAATTGAGTGAATCATAAGATTCAATTACAATTCATTGAGAATTATAGCAATTTAGTTTTGTTTACATGCACGAAACTACATCATTTTCACAAAATTAAAAAAAAAAAAAAAAATTCAACTAATTATATTGATATATGTGGTTTTATACGTGTATATATATAGATATGTAAAATTTAATTATATTCATAATTAATTTATTGTAAATACTATGCATGTATTTTTATGTGTATATACATATACAAATTTAGATATTTTGCTAAATAAAGTGAATCTTAGCATAATATATAAATTTACTATTAAGAGATTCACTTTATTTGACAACGGTTCGAATCATCTTTTCTTATTAAGATAGTTGCTTCTATAATATTCTAACTTCTGAGTTACAATGGGTACACCAAATATTACCTCTAGCATGGCTTTTTCCATCAATTTGCTCAGCCAATTTTCTAGAAGAAATCTGTTAGGTTTTATTTTTGGCAATTCCGTTTGATAAAACTCCTTTCAGTTGTATTTGTTTTTGCACCTTTTATTTCAGTGAGGCTATGAGTTTATTAGATGCGAATCCAACCCAAATCATGCCTTTGTCAATTTCCATGGATCAAAACCGAGGTTGTAACATGATCTAGTTTTCCAGATTTTCCAATTTTGGTTGTCCCGCTCGAGCGTGGAAAGGGACGCCCGAGCGGGGATTGCAAGCTCACAGCATCTCTGTTTCGCCTGAAAAAGTACTGGATGGTGTAATTCGACGCTCGAGCGTGGAAACTTCAGCTCGAGTGTGAAGTCTATATGAATCACACAATTTTGAAGCTTCCGCTCGAGCGGGAAATACCACGCTCGAGCGGACCGCGCGAACACAGATTCTTGGATTTCTATAAGGAATTGGTTTTCTTCCAAAATTAGGATTACTTTGGATTTTCATAAGTAGTTGGTTTTCTCCCAAAACTGGGACAAGTCCTCCAGATCTTCTTTTTGGATTCTAAGGTTTATATCTGGAAATATTTTTGCTAGTTTTCTTTGATGTTTTAATTGAGTATTCAACTCATGGTTTAAAGAGTATACATCAAAGGATTATTTGTTTGTTCTACATAAAAGAGAGAGTTGTTCTTCGGTGGATTCTGAAGAATTCGAGCCTGAAGCTTTGGTAGATTCCGGAGTGGCTCATCGTCAAGACAATTCCGAGGTGAAGACGGGGTTGGAAGAGACACATAGAGGTTGGTTTAATTCGGGTGTGGAATCACTAGATAATTGAGAGTATACCTATGTAATTCCTTTATATCTTCTTAGTGGATTGTTTTGTACTTGTTTCCTGTGGTTTTTTATCACAATTGGAGGTGTCCAATTGTGATTTTTTCACATAAAATCGTTGTGTTGATTTGTCTTGATTGTTTGATTGAGATTGTTATATACTGCTTAAAATTCATACATAATCGCAAATCAACATCTAGGGGATTTCTAGATTTTTTCAATTGGTATCAGAGCAGGTCGCTCTATTTTTTTTTTGTTTTACAAATCTATTAGAGCGAGATCTTGTTTGATTTGTGATAATGGACTCAATTCGTGAGGGAAATTCTATGGTTCGACCACCTTTACTTGACGGATCCAATTATTCTTTTTGGAAAGCTCAGATGAGATCGTTTTTGAAATCAATAGATAAAAAAGTTTGGCAATCTGTCATGAATGGGTGGACCGAACCAAGAATTACCGTTGATGGAGTAACTTTTCCCAATCCAATTGAAAAGTGGGACACAATTGATTACCAAAATAGTAGCTGGAATAGTAAAGCTATCAATTCTCTCTTTTGCGCTGTCACACCTGAAGAGTTTAGTCGAATTTGCAATTGTGAAGTCGCAAAAGAGGCTTGGGATATCTTACAAGCTATTCATGAGGGCACTCATTCGGTAAAACGCTCAAAACTTCAAAGGCTCATATCTAGTTTCAAAAACCTTTCAATGAAAGATAGTGAGACCTTTGATAAATTTTATGCGAAATTGAGTGACATTGTAAATTCCAGCTTCAATTTAGGTGAAAAAATACCAGAATCCAAAGTTGTGGGAAAAATTTTGAGATCCTTGCCCGATCGGTTCCAACCAAAAGTTACGGCTATTGAGGAGGCTCAAGATGTTGACAACCTCAAGCTGGATCAATTGGTTGGAAATCTCCAAACTTATGAGGCACATAGGAATTTCAAAAAGAAACAAAAAGATATTACTTTTAGTAGTACTCATAGAGTTGGAGAGGATTCTGATGAGGATTGTGAGATAGATTTCAAGATTGCGGCTGCTTTTGTTAAACAATTTAAAAAATCTTTTTTGAAAAAAAATCCTAATCTTTTGGAATCTACTCATACTCATAAATCTAAAGGCAAAGATAAACTCAAAATTAATTCTATAGCCAAGAAAGAGAAATGAAAGATACAAGGGAACTCTGAAAGACTCCAATGCTATGAATGCCAAGGATTTAGCCACTTTGCTTCAGAATGCCCTACTCGTTTGAGGAAGAAGAAAGCCCTCGCCATCACTTGGGATGATGAATCAGAATCTGATGAAGATGAAAGTGACAACGAAGATCAAGGCGAAGAGGGACATAAACAATTCCTTGCTTTCATGGCCGCTTCCGAAACTGAAAGACGAACAGAGTATCCGAAGAGCCTGGTTGAGAATGCCACTGATGATGAATCCTCGAGAAGTGATGATGAAGAGCTTGAGCAAGCTTATGAAATGTTGTATAAGGAATCTCTTAAGTTATCCAAATTGAATGACAAACTCACCATGAAACTCACAGCATGTGAAAGTGAGAATGTCAAACTAAATGAGGAGATTTCCGAGGCTAAGCTTGATGCCATCAAGATAGCTAATGATCGACAAGCTCTTTGTGCAAACCTCTTGACTTGTGAGACAGAGAGGAATGAGCTACAACAAATCTATGCAACATATGAAAAAAAATTTGGAACTCTCGAGATGTCTCAAGTTGCTTTAGAAGAACTAATGATTAAGAAAGAGGAAGAACTCAAGTGTGCCATGGTTACCATCGGTCTTTGGAACAAAGGATCAAAGGCTTTGGACAATATCATTGGGTCTTAACAAATCTGTTCTGACAAGAGTGGC